CACCAGGCAAACCATGTTGATTCCCATACAAGTGTTAATGCTGCTAATAAAAAAATTGTCCATATGGCACCCTCTTAACATTATCATTTGTCTCCTTAGAGATAGCAAAATGGTTAGGGGGTATGTATCCAAGCGCTTGCTTGTCTTTCCATTCTAACCATGACCATCTAAGACGCGAAGCCGTCAAAAATTTCTCAAGACCGAGCATACCCAATCCTGCAAGGCGTGTGGGACGACACAAGAGCTCCAAGTTAATCTTATGTTGCTTGACAAGCACTTTGTTTCGTCCCCGCCGAAAGAAAAGTTCCCAACAACTTCACAATAACTTGAAGGGTGTTGCGCGGCAAGGCAATGAGCTCCCCAAATCCATGAAGAATGACGGCAAGATTGTTGTCATGAAGATCTGTTGATTTGTGGACAAAAACTTCACAATAACTTGAGCAAATACCCCAATCTCAATGAATCGAAAGCTTTTCAAATGTCAAGTTGGAATAAAAGAGCCAGAGTTCTAGTGGGTTGCAGTTTTCTTGCCAAATTCCCAATATATAGATCCTCATGAATGCGTCTGTACTTGATGAAGGCGCTCGGACATTTGGAGATGAGCTGACACATGAAAAGTGGATTAGTCAGTAGTCATAGAACTCAACTCCTCTCACATTTCCTTCTCTAATACAGTACTACTAAGACGTTTTTGCAGTTCAATTTAAACTGCAAAAAACATCTTATTTTTTGATATGGAGGGAGTAGTAAAAAGTGGAGTGTGCTTCCATTGAAAACTTTGGAAAGGTAATTTCGTCCATAGCACTACAGTTGCCTAAAACGACACTGCTGCCCGCCAAAGTATTTGCCAAAATGAGAGAACGGAACAGTCGCCATGTCATTTTAAAACTTTTTCAGATAATATTCTGGACTTGCTTATTGGGCGGAGGCACTTCTATACCACCACGCTTAACTGCTCAAGTTAATTTGAAACATAGAAGGAGAGTGTGATGAATGGCTACCAAATCATTTGCTTCCTCAAAACGGTGTACAGTAAATCTTTGCGTCCAAGGCTTCACAACACGCAGCCACTGAAGTGCTGAAATAGAGCAACACGGAAGATCAACAGGAAGTAGGTAGCATCAAGAAGAACCAGAACAAGACCAGATCGCATTGCACAGATAACTTGATGACCAAGTGATCTTGCATTCCATTCGAGAAACACAGATGATGGCAAAACAGATGTCACCAAAACGCACCGCAAATGACGGCGGCGCCAACCGGATTAAGATCCACAGCCAGAACGGGTCTTTTACAATGCGAAATCGCTCAGGCAAACCATGCCCCAACTAGTCGAACACAAGGACAAAGCGAAAAGAAAAACTCCAGGCTGATAAGACCTCGCAACTCTCAGTGAATGAAGCTTCAGGTTGGTTCATGGAAGACGATCACGAGCTCAGGACAAGCCTTCACTGAGTCTCAGCTGCCGCCGGTGCCCCTTCTGGCTTCGCCCCCGGGGTCTCCTCCTTGGCCTCAGGCTCCACCTTCTGCCTGCCAAACACCTGCCACGCATCACAAAGCAGCCACAGGTTAGCCCTCGGATTCAACCAGACGCATCAGCGAACAGTAGCAGATTGGCCATCAGAATTCAGATTCCATCATAATACTACTACTATTCAGATGCATCAGTACATAGCAGCAGATAGGCTATTGGAATTGGGAAATTTAGAACAGAATCCATAACTGAAGCCTATCTGAATTCTGAATTAACAGAACAAATACAGAAGCACAGCAAGAAACTACAATGGGTGGCATGATTAGTAACCAGAGCAAATCATATGCAGCAGCAGAGCTGCTATAAGAACAGAATCCAACAACAAATGACTGAAGTCTGAACGGATCCTTATCATTTAGAACAAGATTACTAATACAACACATAGCATCAGAGCACGAAATGTCGGTTACTGTAACAAGTAGTACAGCAAGCTCAAGAGATCACAAGCATTTGACGGCAAAAAGGGCAGAGGATTCCAAGAATAAATTTCTGAACACAGGACGAAATGTTGCAAAAGATAATCTCCAGCAAAACTGAAAATAAATCTACATGGACAGAGACTGACTAATGCTTACAGAGGCAGCAACTAGCAAGGTTACCCCAACTTTGACAGCAAGAATCAGGAAATCCGGATGCCTGTACAGGTTAATCGCCACCTATATATATATATATCGCACAATGAATTGTCCGTAAGCATAACAATCTTAGGAAAAGAAATCTCCAAATGCGTGAGGGAAAAAGTAAGTGTCCAAGGATCTACGAATCGCCACTTCATCCACACTGCACTATCATCACATTCACATGGTTGTTTTCACCACACAGCCTCAAAATCAGGGACGAGGATCCTCTGCCGTTCGGCAGGGTGCCGTTCGACCACTGACTGATGGACCCATCGGGGAACAGGCCCACATGGCAGCGCCACAACGGCAGGAGCCGCACGTCAGGGGAGCCGCTTCCCAAAATCAGGCGAGCGGAAGCACACCTACCTAAAACATTTATCCAGATGCTTCTCCGTGCAGGACAACAGGTGCAAAAAAGATCTCGCGAAAATCGCTGCTACAACAACAACAAACAACAACAAAAGGAAAAGAAAACAGGACGATTCCTACAAGAACATGCATTCCGATCCGAGGAACAAAAGGGGGAAACGAAGAGTGGCAACATTTCGTAACAGCACGCGACGAATAATTCCGAAATTAAACGGCTAGGAACTACACATGTGACGAAATCCGCAAGAGGATCAACATTCTTATCGTGTTTCTACTTTCTACCAGCACAAGACGCACGATCTAGCGAGCAAAGGCACAGGACACGTACGGGCCAAGATCGAACAGCAGCAAGCAAACATGGAAGCAGAACAAGGCAAAGCAGGAGCGCGTGCGTACAGAACGGGGAGGAGGGGGAGGGGAAGGAGGAGGCGTTACCGAGCTGGTCTTGTTGGAGATGTAGTCGCCGGCGGCGCGGAACCGGTTCTTGATGCAGTCCCAGTGCGTGTCGGCGCTGGTGTCCTTGAGCTGCTTGAAGTAGTCCTTGGTGGTCTCCAGGATGCCGGTGTCCTCGCCCGCCGGCTTCTTGAAGCACACCGGCGCCGCCGCCTGCTTGGTCCCCTCCTCCGGCTTCTTCCCGCCGTCGCCCACCTCCACCTTCTCCATCCTCTCCCCGCTCTCCTTACTCTCCATCACCGACGGCCGAACCCCCTCGCCTCGCCTCGCCTACCTACTACACTACGAACCAACCAACCAACCAACCCAGCCAGCCGAGAGAGGAGAAAGCTTTTCGTGCTCCGGGCAATGGTGGCGCTGGGCTCGCTTTATAGCCCAGCCGGACGCTGGCTTGGCATTCACGAAAGAAAGCCGCGGAGGGACGGCACGGCGCAGCTTCTCTGACAGGCGGGCCCGCCGCCCTCCCTCTCTCACTGACGTGCGGGGCCCATGGTTTCCCGTTTCGGCGGCCGCGCGCCCTCGCGCCGTCGCGCGTTAGGCTGACGGGTGGGCCAGCGCCGGCGCCTTCGGGGTTTTGTCAGGGTTTTCCCGTTGCTTCTTGCGCGAGAAGCCGAGAAGACGAGCGTTTCATTTCCTTGGGCAAGAGAATCTCGGAAAGGCCTCGCTGACGCGTGGGCCCGGGATGCTGGCTTTTGCAGGCTCCTGCTGAGGCGGTTGCGGGTGGGCCCGGGCGGGCAGTGCAGCGCTCGTGATCGACGAGCAGAGTTTGCGACAGGGTTCACGCGAGGAAGGCTGCTACTGAGCCGATGACAGGGCGGGCCCAGCGTACGAACTCGTGGAGTAAGAGTAACACAGGGGTAGTAGCAGGCGGAGAAGGGAGGGAGATGTGATCGCGTGACCCGGTCGTAGGGGTCAAGATGTGTGGGCCAGCTAAAGGCTGCAGCTGCGAACAGGGTGGCAGCGCAGCGCAGCGCAGGGTTGTACGTACCGCCTGCCCTGCCGTGCGCGGCGCGGTTTGGAGCGTCCGATCTTGCGCCGAGCGCTCGGATCGAACGGAAGTTTCTAGCGACTCGGTTTTGAGGAGCAGCACGGCAATCTTTCTGGGTAGAAGATGCTCTGGTTTGCGCTCCGGATTCGGCGATCGCGTTTTTGAAATTTGAATCGGCAAACGTGACGGGCATCTCTATCTCATCTATCTTCCTCACCGGAAACGTGATGGCACATTGCTACCTACTTACCTCCATCCTTCTATATACGTAAGTACTTCAAAACAAACTTTCAATCCATTCATCGTATGTGATGGCAAGAATAATAGAAATAATAAGGATTGAGGAAAGAAGGGAAACTGCACAACTGAACGGTTAACCACTCGCCATGCCTGCTCTGGCGATTCCACTTGCCACGGCCACATCCACCTACCACCGTCACCACCGCTGCCGCCGGGCACCCCCGCACCTGCCACCGCCGCCAGGCACACGCCTACCGCTGCTCCTCACCACCGCGGCACGCACGCCTGCCGCCGCCCCCATATCCCCAGTGACATCTCCCCGCAAAGCCGCGAATGAAGAGACGCCTCAGATTCTCAGATCTGAGCGTCCTCGCGTGCGATGGGAGGATCTCAGCAGAGGAGAAGGAGATGGAGGAGAGCCACCGCGTGCGGATGGAGAGGACGATGCGAAGGCCAGGGCGTGGAGACACCCCGAAGAAGTTGGTGACGCGGATCTGCGTCGAGGCGACAGAGGAAGAGATGGCCAGGATGATCCCCATGGATTCCTCCTCACCGGAAGAGGTGATTTCCTGGGCGAGGGCAGAGATGCACTCGCACATCCCAGAGCAAAGAGCGAAGTGGCGAGCGTTCTGGTCGGTGCAGAGCTGATCTCGCCAGCGAGAAGCCATGGCTCCACCCCACCATTGGAGCGGAGGATTTCTGCCTCGTCAAATTTGGAGAATTAGAGGTTTGAATTCGCCACCCCGCTTCGATGGGCTGGAGAACAAAACACAACTCGGCGCTGCCTCAACTTCGTTGCAAAAATTGACCCTCCTGATCGTGCAATCATGGTCCGAAAGCGTCATTCTCTGAAATCGAGCGCAATTGAAGAAGGAATTTCTGCTCCTGATCCTGCTACGGAGAATGACAATCAAGGCCCACAAAGCATTATCAGTGGGGGGGGGGGTGGAAAAGCTTGCTGACATGGAAAGGGGGAGGGGCGTGGAAGACGACCTGGCCTCACGCGAGCACTACGGGAAGTTGTGGGAACATGATATTAACCCCGATCCCCACCCTTTCCTAATCTGGATCCGGAGAGACCAAACCCTACCCTGCTCGTTCACCGCTGCCGACTGCCACCCAGCGTCGGAGAACGATTCCGCCACCCTCCCATACACCACCATCAGGGGAATTGATCCAAAGCTGTGTGAAGAAATCAGAGCCATGGCTGAAGCGCAGGGGAGAGGGCGCGGGCGGGGAAGAGGAGGGAACCCTAGAAGCAACAAACAGGGGGGCCAAACATCAAGGGATCTTGGAGCTCCACCCCCAGGTAATTGGCCCCAGTTTGATCCCCAATATGGCCCTCCTCCCCCCCCCAATTCCAATTCGGCTTTGGCTTCCCTGGAGGACCCCAGATCCCACCCCCTTGGTATCAGGGAGGATTCTTCCCTCCCCCACAGATGAACCAGTGGAGAGGCCCCCCTGGCGTCTGGGGTGGTGGACAGAACCAAGATTCAGGTCCCTCTGACAAGCAGTTTAGCAATCAGCAACAGAAAGGGCAACAAGGGCAGAATCCTGGAAAGCAAGGCAATTCAAGCTTTGATCAGAAGCAGCAAAAATCTGTCCAGGAGCAAGGTTTCTGTTCCTCTGTGAGTGGCAACCAGCAGAAGAAAGGGAGGAACATGACCAAAGCAAAGCAACCCCTCAACAAGTTTGATGATCTGAATGCTACAGAGTATGCAGATGTCATCTGCTATAGTTGTGGAGAACCTGGACACCACAAGACCAACTGCCCAAAACCACCTGCTTGTTTCATATGCAAAGTGGTGACACACAAGGTGGAGGACTGTCCAATAAGAAAGAAGCCAAGAAACCCAGCAAAATTTGTTGGCAGTGGGGCCCCTGGACTTGGATATCACCAAATTGATGTCCTTGATGTGAATGAACAACACATTGGAGTTAAGAGGAATATAGGAGTTGTCTATGTGGAGTCGGGACAGGTCACAAAGAAGGAACCAGCCCACAACTTCTCACTGATTTACAAGACCAATTGGCCATGGCAGATAAGGGTACTTGATGATTGGAATTTTCTGGTCAAATTCCCACCTCACATCCCAGTTGAGAGTGTAGCCAGATATCCTCCTTTTGGTTTGCCTGAGATAGAAGGAGTCACAGTGAATGTAGAAGTGTGGAAAGGGATGCTAGAACACCATAGTGAACTGCAAAAGGTATGTCTTCAGCTGGATGGGGTTGCGCCAACCTGGGCTGAATGGGCAATACTGAAGCAATTTGCATCTATGTTTGGAACCCTAATTGATGTTGATTGGGAAGGGAATTTCAAGTCATTCTTTGAGGTGGTCAGGATCAAGATCAAATGTAAAGATCACACCAAATACCCCCTGAAAGGCTGTTTGGCATAGGTGACAAGCTGTTCAGGATTGGGATTACTGTAGAACCACCAGAAGATGACCCAGAGCTGGATGATCTGTTAGAATATGAACTAGCTGACAATGCTAATGGCAACAAGTTAGAGAAGGACAACAAGGAGGAAGAGAGTACCAATAGATAAAAAGGAAACATTGGAGGAGGATCCACTCCCTCCCTCCAAAGTAACAAATCTGCCAACAATGCCTCAAGCCAGAACTCAAAACAGAAAGTAGTTGACTATCTGAAGCAACTACAAGACCCAATTAGCATGGAGCAGAGCTACAACATCCTGCAAGGAATGGAACTTGAAGAGGATGAGGATGAGATGGAAGATCTACTAACTGAAGATGGGAATGCAATAGGTAGATATGGAGAAGAGGTGATTTTCAGCCCCCAGCTCGAACCAGAAAATGGCCCCAACCCTCAGCCTCCTACTGATGAGACAGTAATTCAGCATGTGCACAAAGAGGGGAAAAACAAATGGGGCCTAGTTCAAGCATTCAGGAAAAGCAACAGGGTTGAGGTGGGAGGCAGATCCATGCTGGAGATTGCAATCAACACTAAGAAGGTGCATAACTTAGAAGCCACAAAGAAAGACACCAAAGGTACCATTGTTAAAAACTCATTTGAGCTTTTTAGTAACCCTAATTTCCTAGAAGTAGCTAAGAAGATAGGAATAGAGATAGATACTAGTTACAATTCCACTTTAGAAGCTAGTTCTTCCAGCTCTCTGCCTTTGTCTGAAGGACAAAATGCAGGGGAATTTGAGAAATTTAATGCTGGATTGAATAGTAGTGCTGTTGATAAGCAAAAAATTAAGATGAATGTATTTTATAATGTGAACCAATTAGTAGAGAAGCCTGAAGGGCCCCCAGATATTAGTAGTCTAATTGATTACCCTAGACTCACAAAAAAACCCTGGGCAAAGGAGCCTGGAGGGCTCCCTACCCAAAAAGAACTCATAGATAATGGTGGTTCCCCTAGTACCCCTTAAGAGTTCAATGTGATCCCATCTGAGCACTTGGACCAAAGTGCTTTGTGGAGCCTGGTCTCCAAAAAAGGATGGGGCGAGCACCCTAAGAAACACATGTTTCAATGAATGCTTTGTTTTGGAATATTAGGGGGATAACAACCCCAGGAAAAAAACCTTGCATTATTGAAACTCTAGGTAAACATAAACCTAGTATAGTAGCTTTTTAGGAAACAAAGAAAGAGAAACTCTCTCTTCCTTTTTAAAATCTATTAGTGGTGATAAACCTTATAGTTGGCATCACCTACCTGCTGAAGGCACTTCAGGTGGTGTGTTGGTAGGAGTTGACTTGGATATTTTTGATGTTATTAGCTGGAAATCCCTCAAATACTCTGTCTCATGCAATCTAGTGCATAAGACAAGTGAAAAAACCTTTAGGTTCATAGCAGTCTATGGATCACCATATGAGGAGGGCAAGGATGAATTCATCTCTGAACTCCATAGTATGTTTATTGGTAACCACCCACCCACTATTGTAGGGGGGGACTTCAATTTAGTTAGATATCAGAAAGATAAGAACAATGGGAGGATTAACCATAGTTGGAGTGACAAATTCAATGCTTGGATAGAAAT